GAAGTGACACCACGTGGTGGTGACAATTGCTTCAGCTGTGCTGCCTTTTGAACTTCTACCAGTTCTTGATCGAGTTCCTAAAAACAACGAATCCTGGAACTTGGCAAATTCTTGAAGGGTTAAATCTTACCCTAATTAACTCCTCGCTGTGGATCAGCTGCTGGCTGAAGTTAAGCTGTTGAGCAGCATTCAGAGCAGTTCTTAGCTCGGCAAGGTTTGTGGACAACCCATTGCTGGTCTGTTGAAGGTTAGAGGCAATGTGATTCTCACTGACATGAGCTACTGATGTACGCGCTACTTCTACAAGACGTGTGGCAGGAGCTAGGATCTGGAAGAAAAAACTGTTTTTTTTGACGCTGTAAGACTGGAACCTAAATATAACCATTTAAGATATAGCTTACCTGATGAGCATCTCTGATCAAACGACTTTGAGCTCGGAATTTCTCGCTAGCACTCTTTGACTGCTGGCTTTCCCTGATGGAAGTGATCAACCTGGAAAATTAATATTTTTTTCAAGAAAAAATCAATTTCTACTAAGAATTTCAACTAACCTTGGCACATGTTCAGCCGTCTCGGTACATTCATATACCAAATTTTCCACAGTTGTTTTGTTCTTGATCAATTCCTGAAATTGGATCGATCAATTATCGATTGCTGATTGTACCGATAGTGTTATGTGAATTAAACAATGCACTCCAATTAGTAGTCTACTTCGTTCTTATAGAGTTGTATTTAACTAGGGTAACCAAGGAGCACCGCACACCGCCACTTACTTGTTCACTGCCCGTATATGTACGTGCTCTCTGTGCCCGTATATTTTTTTCAAAATTTTTTTTGAAGAAACTTTCAAAATCAGAATGGAATCACAAACTTTGGGGACATAGCAATTTATTCTAATCCCAAATTTACAGAGACAAAAAAATACAAATATGCGTGAATGTAGAATCGTTCGATAGCGATAAGGCAAGACTTGAAAGTGATTAGGATTACATTGTGTGAATGCGGACTAGACAAAGCGAAAGGCGGCTCACGGCAGTGTGGGCGGGGCTAGTGCACGAATTCTGTGCATTGCAAAAAGGGGCCTAAAAATTCGAAAAAATGCGAAGGGGAGGGGGTTAGCGTGAATACAAGCGGGGGCGTGGCGCATGATATGTGCGGGCACATTGAGCGGTGATTCGGGTGGTGGGTGGTGTGCAGATGGGTGGCTAGCGGATTCGCAGTATGGTGTGCGTGTCATCAACTAGAAGCTGCTCCGTGATCTCCGTTCGTTTGTGCTGTTTCTGCGGTGGTGGGTGGAACTCCTGAACGAAGCAGGCTACTACCTTCGTGCTATACTGTGCCCAAACACACGAATTAGTGCAGTACTGTCCCAAAAGTCGCGTTAACCTAGCCAATACTTCTGGTTAGAAAAGTATTGAATTATAAATCCTCGACTTTTTATAAACTGCATGACAATGGGTAGTGCTTAGGATGCTATTCAAGTCTTCATTATTAGCGTAACGTTTGTCTGAAAGAGCTTTGAGAGAGCTTCCCTCAATCAGAATTTACAACTGTCTAAAGTTGCTCTTATATCACTAAAACAACAAGTTGAGGACTTATGTTAATGTGGCCAAAGTTACTGTCAGTTTCTGTTACTTTGTGTTGGGCA